CGGACACACACACACACACACACCCACACACCCATACTTGTTTCACATGACTAGTGTGGACTTTCCATTGCTTTCGTGTAGTTAAGAAAAACCAGTGAAAAAACTCATTTTTCTCAAACTGTGAAAACTCTTTCAACCCAATTTTTTTTCTATGATTCCCTTTAGTGTTTCTCTTCATTCTGCTACAGATAAACCTAACCCAAAAATGCCTCTAAACCTGTTTTCCAGAAATGGGGAAACACTGTGTGGACGTGGGGTAAGTCCACACAACGTCGGTGCTACCTACATTATGTGGACGTCTTTTGTTCGGAAGTCCACACTGCGTATGTAAGACAAGCTCACACCCACCCACCCACCCACCCACACACCCACCCACACACCCAACCACCCACGGAAGGACAAGGCGGAAACAGTATGCCCCTTCGGCTTCGCCGCGGGGCATAAAAACAACAAATGCCCTCTAAGATGGCCGATATGCATAAGGTCTATGAAGGACAAGTAACATTTCAAGTTAACCCTGGTAGGCCAATCATGTCCAAATTGGTGTTTACCAAATGAGTAAAACTAATAAAACCTTTTTGAAATTGAGTCAGGGACATGCCAGATTTGAGAATGAACTTGTAAAACAACCTTTTGAGTGATCAAATGCATTACCTGATATAAAGGGTCAACACCAATATAACAGACAGGACCAAAACGGTTTGTAGCAATGTGAGCAGCAAGTTTATTGCTTGTTGGATTATATCGCCATTATCATTTCAGAAAATTATCATTTCAAAGCCAGTTATATTTTTAAAATAACATGTAGAAACCACAAAGTCCACTTCATCACAGACAAATTAAACTTTGATTCATACTGCAACAGATTTCAAAGCAGAATAAATTGCATTTGGGTATAACAGCAAATGAAACATAAAATCACAGTGTCATGGAATGAAATTTACTTTTGTTTTCATGTCAAGTAAAGTGGCCTTTATGTACTTCCAAAAGACAGTTAAAGATGCGTCACCAGAAGCATGTGTTAATATTCATAAAAATAAACTACCACAAAATTTCACATAAAGTTAATACTGTATAAATAAAAGAACACAAGTTTCAAAACTTTATGTACAAGATTACTGAGGTTCAATAAATACTGAATGAAAGCTGGTTTCCTTGTTTTCAAATTAATGTCTCTTTAAAATGGACCGATCCAGTAAGCCCCGCCCACTGCGCACGTGGGCAAATTAACACGTGCTCATATCCAATGCCACACTGCATTTTCCTGCCGCGCGCATAATACGTGCGTGCACGCATGTCGAACTTTTGTGCACGCACGTCGGACATAAATCAAGGTTGTGATTGGTCAGAACACCATGGGGCGGTGCTTACTGGATGGCCCATTTCACGGAAGCTTGTCTCATGCAACCGGATCTAGCAGAATCCAATGGACACAAGATATTCTTTTGTTAACTGCTCGGATTGGTCAACTCCCGAAAGCTCTAGATAAATTATGCAAGGCCAATAACAACACAATAAGATGGCTGCAATGCATTCCGTCATGGCTACAATTTGACTGAAACTGAATCCAAAGTTGGTTTTTGCTTTCAATATAGACTTTCTTCAAGACAAACATGCATTTTCGATACATGCTCAACTGTTGCTCAAGGGATCGTTAACTTGCTAACCTGTAGTGGCTGTTGATAAAAAATAACCACCTCTTGAACTAAGACTACTTTCACTGACGCAAGTGGTGACTTATTTATATTACAGTTCAATAAATACTTATCTGGCTGACTTTTACAACAATGCTGGCAAGAAAAATAATTGAATAAATTGAAACAGAAAAATCTTAGTGTTATGAAACCAATATTAATTTCATGAACATTTTGCTTATTTTTGCGAAACTGACCTACAGTTAAATTTCACATGCAAAGCAATAATATTCTTATGCAGGGAAATAGTTTTTGCTAAAATATCATGTCAAATTTTTCTTAACTAAAAATAAACATCACAAATTAGTAAAATAAAATCAAGAGTAAACACTGTGAGTTTATAATAAACGATCAAATAACATAAAACATGCAGTCCACAAAATGCACCAAGCTAGATTCCTGTTAAAATATCCAACATTCGAATACGCAAATTATATTCATTGAGATTTTTTTTTAAACTGAGTTAAAAAGAAAAATTTGCTTCCAAATTAAAAACAATTAAATAAATCAACATTTGTTACAAAAGCCCACATCCACATCTGCAGTTCCTTTTCCAGAGGAAACCCAAGTTATCTGTTTGATCAATTCACATATTGCTGTATTGTCACTTTTTTTAAAAGACTTTAGTTTCCTTGTGTGTCAATTTCCCTTCAAAGTTTTGAGTTTTCTATTTAAAGGCAACTCTCGACCCAATTTTGGTCAGCTAAGTTTGTTTTGCTCAAAAAAAAATATTACTTAAAATTAATGTTTCTACGTATACCACGTATAGTATCTCAACCCTTTAAAGACATTTTGGTCCACGAACAATAGTTCCTGAATAGGTATTACATTTTATGTTCATTACATACATGTACATACCGGTACAACAAGGCTACAAAGATATTGCAGTTATACATGTGTTGTAAATTTGCATGCGTCTGTTTCACAACAGAATAAGCCTTTTCGGAGTTCCAACTGCGCATTCATCACCTGTGACAACGCGCATTGTTTGTCTCAAATGGCCTTTGACATCATCGCTCAAAAAGGGTGTTTGTGCATTGTGGGTACTGTCAAAGGGCATTGGAGACAAACAATGTGCGTTATCACAGGTTATGAATGCGCGCAGTTGGAACTCCGAAAAGGCTTATTACAAGGAATGTTATATTATCCTTACAAAAATAAAGGGACGGAAATGTTAGCATTTTACAAGTTTACAAGGAATTATTAACAAAAAAAGAAGAGTTGAATGTCCTTCAAATGGCATCATTTTAATACCTCTCAGCATCAGTGACACGTTTTAAACAATGCCCTTTTTTAATAAATATATTTTCAAAAAGAGAGTTGAAACGCAATAGTATAATTCTACACATATTCCCATTTGTATTAGTTACTAAATACATGTAATGAGAAATTTTACAAATGACAATTTAATAAGCGTTTTTAGTTAATATACATGTAAACCATAACCATAATATAAATATTGCTGTAGACGTATGTAGTTGTTAAACACAGTCATAAGTTACTAAACCTTATACACTTTTAATACATTTTTTTTTACAGGTGAGTTATTGTATAATTCTACACAAACATGTCTGAAAATCTGTCCAATCAATTCCTTTTGCTTGCAAAACATCGAGAGGACTATTTATAGGTATCATTCTTTCCTTAATTTCTTTGAACTGTTATTAGTCCTCTACTGGTTTTAACATGGGAGTCTTTTCTTAACATAACCACACTTATTGCAGTTTACTTAACTCTTTCAGTGCCTGCGAAATTTGAAAAGTTTAACGCCAACTTCGAGCGTTTTTGTTAATTGTTCCAAATTCTGTAAACAAAAAAGTAAATAAGTTTTACTCACTAAATTTGTTGTTGTTGCTCTCTGGTATATCCTTGGTACATGTATATTGGAAAGTCAATAGTAGTCACATACATAGTGCTACACCCTGAAACACTGTCCTGCACACAGGGGAATTCCACACTTTTTGCAGAAAATACGAGTGTCAGTGCTGCGCCCTCTCGCAAGAACTCGAATGAAACAAATAAATACAGATCGTAACTGAATGAAAATGATATTATTAGAAAGAGCGAGAGCGCCCCCTTGTGATAACATGCTTACTCTACCTCGTACATGTACAAGGTTTGGCAATAGTAAGTACGAACATTACCTCGTACATGTACGAGGTTGGCGATTTCGAACTAACAAATACACCTCGTACATGTACGACTTTGGCACTGAAAGAGTTTACATGAATAAAAGTAAAAAACCACTGACTACATGTATGTGTAGAAATATAGGAAACCATGGATGGCCACAACTCTATTCAAGGCAGAAAATTCAGTGTCAAAGCTATCCCGAAATAAAAAAGAAGCAAGATTTGTTTGTTTGTTTGTTTGTTTTTGTGGTAAATTTTGTGGGTTTTTTTGGTGATTCATTGTAGTTTCAGTACATGACAGGAAGATCAATGAGCAAACTTTAAGCACCAATGTTTTCCGTGAGTTAATTGTTGGATTCACAATTTGAACAAAAACCCCTAAACTGACGTGTGTGTGCCTTGTAAATGACATTGCCACAATAGCCCCCTCAGTTGTCAGGAAACAAACTTTACAAAACTTTTACCAAAAACGTTTTCATAAATTTCAGAGAAACTGATATTTTCACCAAATATGTTCCCATTGTAAAAATCATGTCTTGGATCCTTTAACGGAAAAAAACAACAAAGTTACTCATGTAAACCTACAATGTACATAAAGAAACGGTCGCATCCAAGTTTTCTGTCTAGAGGTTTTGTCTGGGTCTTGGTCAACTACATGGTACATAAACATGGGAACATGCCGACAATAGACATACATGTACATGTAGTTATAGCTTTAGAAGCCTGTTTTGACAAGCCTTAAGACTCCCATTTTGTGCACATGCCAATCGCAATATGCATTCTGTCCAGTAGCACATTTCACGAACCAGTGCGTAACTTACACCATGCGTAGGACTTAGGTAGGTAGGTAAAGCGCTCGCCTCTCACCAAGGTGACCACGGTTCGAATCCTGGCCGCGGATCACATGTGAGTAGAGTTGTGTGTTGGCTCTCTCCTGTGCCACCAGGATTTTTCTCCGGGCCCTCCCGTTTTCCTCCCTCTGGAAAAATCAAACACTTTCGATCTCAGGCTGTGCTCCGTGGTCATATATGAGCCGGTGTGGCCGGCAGCCATAGGTGCCTTTACGTGCCAGCGGCCCGACCACGTTGTAGCCGGGTCCTTCGCAATTCAGCATCCCAGCTGCGAGTAAGGATGATTAGCCTCCCAAATTATTATTATTATAACATGCATAAAACCTCTTTATTGTGGCCACCTCCTATGGCAACCTGTCTATTGTGACCACCCTATCATGAATCGCAAGCGCATGACATCTTGTTCCTTGATTGCACAACTCATTTCCAGCTCAGCTCCGCTCCCTTTCCTGTGGCCAAGAAAGCTCCACAAACCTGAATGGCCTCAGACTCCGTGGTAGTCTTACTGCCCTTGCAGTCTGTACACGCTACTTCATGCAACTGCCTCACGTCCGACCTTGCGCTTCATGAAACTCAGTTTGTTAAACGGTCTCTGATGTTTCTTATTCCGGGTGTTTTCCTCCCTGTCTATGTGGAAGTGGTTGCTGATATTGCTCTGAATGAGTTCCTTTTGATCTGAGTTTGAAAAAGATCCAAAGTAAAAATTCAAGTTTAAAAAATTCCGTTCAACATATCAGAAATTTTGATCAAAGTGAGAATAAATTCTCTAAGTTTTATGTTACCTTTTTACATCAAACCTTCACCTTTCTACTGAGGCCTCACCGCTCCTGCATCAATTACATTGGCTGCAGATTGAATCACGTATTCTTTTCAAATTAATTCTATACGTTTACAAAACACAACACTGTCTGGCTCCTTCCTACCTGACCGATTTACTCTTTTTGTATCAATCAGGTAGGGCGGGGCTTAGGTCTTCAACAGACACTTCCCGATTACATGTTCCTATTAACACTAAAACCACAGGTGACAAAGCTTTCTTGATTGCTGGCCCTAGGGAGTGGAACAAGATCCCTCAACACATCCGACTTGCATCGTCAATCATCACCTTCAGGAAATCGCTCAAAACGCATCTGTTTCTTGAAGTCAATTCACCTTTATCTTTTCCTCTCATTATCCCCTGGTTCCCTTGAGTTATTCTTAAATTAAGTTTTTTGTTTTGTTTTTGCCTTGTTTATTTGTAGATTTGTAGTTTTGTAGTTTTGAACAGCGCTTTGATCTCTGTTAAAAGCGCTTTATAAATGCTCCATTTATATTATACCCAAATGTGCACACAGGTGGTAATGTCAACACATGATTTACTTTACAACCGCACAGGCTCTTAAAGTGAAGAGAACACTCTTCAGGTTGAGTTCTTTCCCATGCCCATCAAATATAATGAAACCCTAAACAAGAATTAAACCTGATTAACTAGACAGAATCGTTTGTGTATTTGGGATTGTGATTGCGGCTAGCAAGCTGAGTACAGTAAACTCCGGCTAAACCGACATCGTACAACTCGTCAAATCGCTCAAGTCGGCCGTCTGACTAAAGTACCGATTGTCCGTAATGCATTTCCATTGAATGTTTTATATCTAAGTCGGCTTTTATAAGTCGCCATTTCGCTCAAGTCGTCGTGTTACTCTCGGTCCCCTTCCCATAAAAAGCGTTACAAAATCCTTTGTGTAAGTCGGCATTCAACAAATCACGCATTGACATCAACTACCTGTACTGCGGTTGGCAAAGTGTCGAGTGAAAAGTGGTTTCACACGCCCCGTGATCGCTGCATGCATCAGTGTCGAAAAAGGGTGTCCTACTGCATACATCGCATATGCATCGTGAGCATATCAATACCAGTACCCCCTCTAGGCTGTACGCATGCGCTCTGTCCATTTTGGGGGTCATCTTATTGAATGACTACTGCTGCAGTCAATTCGCTGCAGTCAAAATTTAATTTGTTACTGTGCACGTACATATGTATCATGGTCTCCACTATCAATACCCCAAACGTGATGATACAATTTGAGGATTAATTTGCTGGATTCAACTCAAGTATTAAGGAGATAATCCAGGGTAAATCGAAGCCAATTAGTGCAATGAATCATGTGTGCAAAAGATCATTCATGTAAGTCGGCAAAATGACGACTTACAGCAGATATCGGCATTCGCGTTAGCCATCACAAATTCTCGGGTCCCGAGAGTGCCGACTTAGCCGGAGTTTACTGTACTGTAGTTGAAGGAAAAAAAGGGTGTACTGAAAATGTCAGAATTTGCAAAAGGACTCTGGCTTTAGTCTGAGTCTGCTTGCAAAATTCTGTATGCTCCTTGCATATCTATGTCAGCTCATTTGTTCATTTGAGGTGCTCATTCTGCGAAGTAACCTTGACTTGATTCCTGTTACACAATCTGATATTCAAGTCTATTAACCTTTCGAGCTTCAAACCCAAAAACTTTACGCGGAATGGCCACGGGGAGAATTTTATCACCACACGTGTTTCTAGGTCGATAACCCTGGCATGCCTGGACATGCACAAGATATAGGTCATTCACATTGTCCGGGATTGTTTACAACCTGTCTGAGCTCTGGGCAGCACGAGGGGTTGACACAAAGAGATCGGCGGCACTTAGGGGTTGGCCACTAAGATCTCCAATTACTGCACAAAGGCATGAGCCGCCATCTTGCCTTCTGTCTTTCAACACTCCTTACTCCGGAGTGGCTAGGGTCTGGCCAATGGGAGTCTACAGGCTTGTGGTGTATAGTGGGGGTGAGGATTACATGGAAGCTTGGCCTAATTGGCCCACTGAAAAAAACAAAAATGCCCATATTTGGAAAATGTGGGGACTTTTGCCGTCCGCTCGCTGCGCGAAGGGTTAACAGACTCAGGCAAAGGTCTTGGGTACAACACTGGGGCAGACACGCAACAGACCTGAGCTGAGGTTGCCGATGGTGGCCATCTTGTCGAGGAACTCCTGGCACATCACCCTGGACAGCTCCAGCTCCATCATGTTGTGAAGGAACGTAGCCAGCTGGCCAAAGGTGATATTCTCATTCAGGATCTCGGTGTCCTCTCGTTCCTCCGTGGACAGGTGACGCCAGTTGACCTGATCGTCTGGCTGACGCTGTTTCCTCTCCTGGTGGACTGCGTCGAAGAAGGCTGCGTTCCAGAAACGCAACGATTTCCTGGGAGAAAAAAGTCAAAAGTAGGATGAGTCCAGTAAAGTCCCAATTAATATGAAAAACTCATTGGCAATGAACAAAAATGTCAGTCTGAAAAAAATGCGATCAAAATTTGAACTCATAGTAAGGATCCCTCCCCCCCAAATATTGTGCTACCCTCACATGAAAAATATCAGGAGGGTCGTTTTTTTTGTTTGTTAATGGCTTGCAACTGAGGTCGCCGAAATATACTACAGACCATGTCGTACTTGGTTACACAGAAGTGGATGTTATGGGCACATAATAATAATAATAATAATAATTTGGGAGGCTAATCATGCATCCTTACTCGCAGTTGGTATGCTGAATTGCGAAAGACGCGGCTACAACGTGGTCGGGCCGCTGGCATGTGAAGGCGCCTATGGCTGCCGGCCACATCGACCCATTATGACCATGGAGCACAGCCTGAGATCGAAAGTGTTTGATTTTTCCGGAGGAAGGAAAACCGGAGGGCCCGGAGAAAAACCCTCGTGGCACAGGAGAGAACCAACGCACAACTCCACTCACATGCGATCCACGGCCAGGACTCAAACCGTGGTCACCTTGGTGAGAGGCGAGCACTTTACGCACAAGCCACCTATGCCACAGCTTTCAGCAAAGTTCTTCTTTTTTTTTTGGTCAGTCTTGGGTTAATCCTAAGTATTAGTACAATATCACGTGTTTTATTTGGTGGTTTTTTTTTTCATTTCCAAACTAAACTCAGGAATAGACCCACCATATCGGCTGATCCGTCAGATGACTGTACAAGAAACTCTTACGGGTTGTGTCATCACATCTTGGAAAACCTTGCCATAAAAACACAGTGAGAAAAAAATATGTTATGAGGAAAAAAAACCTTTTGTTTTAGTGGACTTTAAACAGCTTTTCATAGCAAACCCAGGCCATTGCCTTATCTTTGCTTATCTTTTGCCATTGAACTGTGTACTGTGTTGCAGCCCAATCCAGTCTGACCATCTGTACTTACCGGAATAACCATAAGATAAAATTAAAAAAAAAAAATTCCCAGCAGAAAAATACAGGTACCTTGCACACGGCCAAATCAAAACTGCAACACAGCAGTCATCCACATGTACATGTAATTAACGATTATTAACCCTAATATTTAATATTGTTGTGCAATATAACAGAACCTTTAAAAATCACCCTCAAACACAAAAAAGTAACTGTAACAACACTACATGTACCACTATCAAAATAAAGTATGATTTTCAAATCCACAACAATTTCATCTGACACAAATTATGTGGACTGAGCTAATATTAAGAAACTTAGCAACTCTCCTAACAAAAGAAATCACTTTTTTTGTCATGTTTGAACACTGGTAAATTTTACAAAGTGAGCAAATATTGGTATATTTTAAAGAGTGAGCAACATGCATGCGAATGCATTGTAACAAGTAGCAATGCATTTGCTAAAACTCTCTTGCAAATTCAACCAAGATGACCTTACCGGCAGCGCTGTTGCCAGCCCCGAGCATGGGGGGCCCAAGCACGACGTAGCAATTGCTCGCCATGGGGGGCCCGGCCCCAACAGGTCCCAGGAAAAGTCAGGAAATTTGAGAGCCCTATTCTGACGTTTTAGACTCTCCCCCCACCCTCCCTTCATGTACATGTACCTCTCCCAGAATACCCCTTCTTGGTACTTGGTTGGTTCTTCTCCTCAGGACTTCCACACCGGGCCAGAAACACCGGGGCCAAACCCCAAGTGTTACTGGGTTCTTTTACGTTCTTTAGGCCTTATACAACACACGGGACCTCCGGCTCAACGTCCCATCCGAAGGACGAAGCAATAATGGTTAAGTGCCTTGCTTAAGGGCACAAGTGACCGGGCCCGGGCTCGAACCCATGCCACTGTTGCCTCTGAAACACCAGAGCATGAGTCCGGTGCTCTTAACCGCTAGGCCATGACACTCCACCTTCTCCTCACACAGTCAGCTGCACACAGGTATCGCACAATTACCTTCATGTTCATGGTAGAATGTGAAGCACATGTTCATGAGACTCTTGCCTGGTGTGAAGTCATCTGCATCATTGCATCTGTAAAACAACACAGAAGTCGGAAGACATCATTACCCCAAGTTTCCCCTTAATCCACCCACATTATGCACCTGGACTGTTTTGATGCATACACGATGGTGCAGTCCAGTCATGTGAACTGAACACAAGGCTGGATGTGACAATTTACAGTGTGCCATCAAGTTACCGTGAAATATCTAACATGTGTGTAAGGGTACCCTAAGGAGACACGTTATCGTAATTTCTTCGCACGATGGGAGACATCCGTCATTATGTCACAGCCCCCCTTTAGAGGCATAATTTTATTGTCGCAATTGGGTTATATTTGTTGCTCGTGGTCTAATTAGAAAACATACCGATATTCCTGGAAAAAGGACAAGGGAATACTGGGTTAGGGCACATTTTAAGTTTGGACAATTTTGTGCACAAGTCTATGGGGATGTCTCCCAAATGTCCAATCCAGGGTAATTATTATTATGGACTTATATGCGGTAGTAATGGCCCGAGCGAAGGCAAGGGCCATTACTGGCAACCAGGCCCCTAACTGGTTTTTAATAAGATGTTTTAGAACTGCTCTACTACACTAGTTATAATCACAATCATAAATACTTTTATGGTCTAAACAAAATTCTGATGATCGATGCTTTGTCCAACAATTTTACTCCATGTTAAGGCCACTTCTATGGTGCGCGTTGTGCGTGCGGTTTGCTCAACATCTCATTCTCAAGTCCTTACATGGAGCTCATACCAGTGGTTCTCTAGCGAGTGAGGCAACCAGTTGTGGGAGCCGGCGCGGTGGGTACTGCCGTATGTGGTGTGGGGTGCAGAGTCTCGCGACTGGTTTTATAAAACATCATTGACCGGTGTTTAAACGACGGTTTTAAGACCGCCCATTGGAGGGCACCCTCAACCAATAGGAATGGTGTCTCAGGTATTTATGAATGGTGGAAGGTTAGCATGCAATTAACTGGTACGAATGCAAAAACATTTGGGAGACACTTGATCAAAAGAAACCTGCAAATTTGTACCAACATTAAAACCAGGTGAATGACATAAACAATTCATGTGCATGCAGAAGTTGAAACAATTTGGAGATGAAATTTGGTGTTCTTCTCATACTTTGCTCTTCCTCCTTCCTTCCTTGAAAGTGCAGCCTCATATGCATAAGGATAAGCGCACTGCCAGAAACACCGGGGCAAACCCCTTCTCTTTTAGTGATAAGTGTTACTGGGTTCTTTTACGTGCATTATACAACGCACGGGACCTACGGCTTTATGTCCCATCAGAAGGACAAAGCAATAATGGTTAAGTGTCTTGCTTAAGGACACAAGTGTCAAGACTGGGACTCGAACCCACACTCTCTTTCTTGTACAATATCTTAAAAAGTACTTGTCAATTGTTATTTGTGATAATGTTTTAAACATGTGTGCATAAGATATCCACCGAAACCAGTTTTGTAGCATTTTATTAAGTAAACTCACTCAAACAAGCAGACAGCAAAGAACTGGACTAATCTGTAAAATGTCTGCTCGGTGACTTTCTTGGAGTTGACCCGCTGGCTGTCCACCAGTCTAGCAAACCACTGACGACCAATCGCTAACTGCAAACAAAAATCAGTCAATCGTAAAATAAATATTTTTTTTCAATAGATCATATTAATTCAACAAAATACAAAGTTAAGACCCTTATTTTAGGCGAAAAAAAAAAATATTCGGTCTCTGGTCAGACCAAAGTTCCGGAATTGACGCGGCCACGCGGCTTTTTTTTTTTTTTTGGCTTTTTTTTTTTTTTTTCAAGCTTGGATTGTACAGACAAGGTGGGTACTATTTTGCTTTTTTGGTGTCCTCATGTACATTAGTGTCCTCCATAATTTGCCTTGGTGCTTTCGATCATTTGCCTTGGTGCAATTTCCCATTCCTTGGTGCTCTTTGGTAAAAAAAAAAATGAGGAGGTGCGGAAATAGAGGGCGCTGTTGGAGCTACCGCGGAACATTTTGGAAAAAAAAAAGATCGACGCGCATGATTAAAATCGACGCGCGCGCTGACCAGAGACCGACTTATTTTTTTTTTGGCCTAAAATAATTTTTTTTTTTCAATAGATCATATTAATTCAACGATATACAAAGTTAAGACCCTTATTTTACAGCAGTACATGTATTGACCTATTCTTTTGTAATCAAATTATAAGCCAAAATTATCCAACAATTAAAAAAACAGCTATTTCACATAACTTATTATTATTCAGGTTGCCTCTTACAAGGCTACATGTACATGGGATGTACATCTAACATAAAAAAAAAATTGTGTTCAAAATGAAGACTCCAAGCAATGATAGTCAGAAACTTTCCATTTTTAAGATTAGTTAAAAACAATTGTCAAATTGATTGACTTCCACAAGTTCATGTTGTAAACAAAAAAAAGAAGTCAGTGTGATTATTTTCTCCCAATGGGCACCACATTTTCAATAAACAATTCAATGTCAACTACACTTTAAAAAAAAAAACAGCAGTGACCATGAAATGCCATGCAACAGCTGGGTGTGTACTGGAGTAGAAAATTGAGTGCAATAAATAAATAATTCCTGGGAGGTCAACGAGAGAGATCAAACTTTTAATTTACTCCACAGCCAATGACAGCCTTGATGAACAGGAGTTCAAATGGTCAATCGTGACACAAACTGTCCTAGCTAAAACCTTACTTGCTATCATAAAAACAAGAGTCACTGGTGTCATTAAAGGGAATGTACAACATTTGCTTTTGCTGCAATTTTCAGAAATAAATGGGTTTGGAGGATTAGTACATGTATGTTATAGCAAATATTGTTAAAATGACTTGTTTCACGTTTTGGGCTTGTAGATGTTGGAAAAACCAAGAAAACCAATCATGTTCTTGTAGTCTGGTTCCCCGACCCCACTTAAGATGAAACGGAGCAATTTATAGACTTTTGGGAATTGTAAAGTCAGAGAATCAGTCTAGCAGGCTTGTACCCCTTCACAGGTGTGCAATCAATTGCAAAGAAAACAATGAATAACTAAATATGAAAAAATAGAAGCAGGTTTTGAAAAAAGCCAGTTTTTTCCAACGCTGGTCGGCCGACCAGCGTTGGAAAAATACCATTTTTCTTGAGAATGATAGCACACCAGGAGCCACGATTTTACAGGATGCATTAGACTGTCATTCCCTAACAATCCAGTAAGGTATTTCATGATAATTTGATCATTTCGTTTTGTGATGTTTGCAAATGTTGTATCTTCCCTTTAAATAAATATCGATATCAGTTTGTACATGTAGAACAAAGAACTGTCTACATTTTAGTAATGGTGCATATTTCACAACACTGATGGTCTATGTTCTGTGTTTGAAATGAAGTGAAGAGAAAATGTACTGAAATCTCTGAAATCTATTCTCCAATAAAATGCAGATTTATGTATGTGTACGTGTTCTACATAACCCCCGAGGACCGACACACAAAGGCAGAACAACATCCTTTCAGTCCTCGGGAGTTGGGTCTTTTGTTGGAAACGGTCCTCTGTAGTAGGTTTGTGTGCTTAGTCCATGGGAGAGTGTTATATATTACAGGGACAAAGGGAAACACAAAGTATTGTCCTCGGGAGTATAGTAAAACAGAGAGTGTATGTACTGTACATGTATGGGTAGGGTAAGAGTGAAGCAGAGTTACAGCCAACAAGTCAATCACACATGTACAAGAAAGTCGTCTAGTCTCAAGTCAAGTGACATATACATGTTATGATGTACATGTAGTATTCAAATAAGGCCAAGTTCGGGCAAGGACCATTAGTCGACTAGTGGTTGATTTGTGACGTAACTTACGCCTGCGCACTAATAGCAACGTGCGAACGTTTCTAGTCAAACGCTGGTCAAAATGTCATCGCAAAACTTCTGGATCCTGGCTCTCTGCTAGCGTTATGAATGCGCGCGGCTATTGGTTACCAGCGAAGCAACCAACCCCAGTAGGCTGGTTCCAAATAGTCAACTAGCGTCGTCAACCATCGTCGACTAGACAGAGTTCGGGCAAGCGTTAGTCGACCAATGGTCAACTCTAGTCCTTGCACGATCTTGGCCCATGCTGTGATCAATTAGTGGTGGAAGAAATCAGAGATTTCAAAATCTGGTTATTCTAATGTTTTTCAAACAGAATAACGATAACTCTGATTTTAATAGAAGCTTCCATTCAGTTTACAGTCATGCCAACAAAAGTGACGAGTGAGGTGTCCCATGCAATGGCCTCAATGTTGAAGAAAATGGGTTGGAACTCTCTGATCAGTCAAATATTTATTCATATTCATATACCAAGCAGACCACTAGAAAGTGAATGCACTTTACAATCACAGACCACGGAGCAAATGTTCCAGTTGTTTTATTTAGCCTGTGTCACAAACAATTTGTTTAAGATTGGTTTCGTATATATATCCAGTTTCTAAAATCCAAACCAAATAGTGGAATTTTAAACCGAATTAAAAAAAATATCTGGATTTTAATCTCACCACTAAGATCAACGCATTCATTTGCCATTTTCTAATTTTCTTTTGAACTTAACAGGTGCAGCCTCCGTGTAATCAATTTTTCAATTCATAAAGCAAAGTTTGGCTAAAAGTGATAAGCAAGCAACAACTGTACCCGGTAGTCTTATGATCACATTCTTATGCTTAAAGGGAATGTACATCATTGGCTTTTGCTGTAATTTTCAGAAATGAACTATTTGAGGGGTTAGTATAATAGATCAAATACTGTTACACTGACATGTTTCAAGTTTTGTGTTCAAAAATACTGTGAAAACCAAGAAAAACAAACATGTTCAAGTAGTCTGGTTGCCTGACTCCACTTAAGTTGAAATGGATCAATTTATAGATGCCGGAAAATTGTAAGGTAAAGGAACAAGTTTTACTGGCCTGCACTCGTTCAAGAACATGTAACCATTAGCAAACAAAATTTGGACTGAGAAAAATTGGTAAATTTGGAGAGGTATTTGAAAATAGTTAGGTTTTCCCAACGGTGGTCAGCCAACCACTGTTGGAAATTTATACAAAATACCATTTTTCTTGAAAATGACTTCACATCAGGTGCCACAATTTTACAGGATGCTTTTGACTGCCATTTATCAACATCCTAGTAAGGTATTTCGTAAAAATGTGTTGGTTTTGTTTTTCGATGTTTACAAATGTTGTATATTCCCTTTAAGCTACATGTAGGTTTTAATGCAGTCAAAATGGGAATGCATAATTCTCAGAAACAAATTTTGTTACGCTGACAAAACCAAATATGCATGCACAGCTGTTTCTTGTGTTGAAGTACATGCAACCACAAAACTTACCAATTGCTCACCATTCAGCTGCACTATACAATTGGTCCCAGACTTGTAATAAAACTTATGAAAGTTATGATTGACTTGTTATTGCCTTAATTCACACATAGGTCAATTCGAGAGCCAGTAATTTTCAGTGTTCTACTTTTATCACAGTGTTGACCTCACCATTACTATTAAGCTGACCTACATGTAGTTAAGGGTCAGATGTCACTCACCCGGCAATACTCTCCAAACTTGGCATTGTCTTCCTGGCAGATACTGGCACTGGAGGCAAGAAACAACAAACACATACATGTCAAAAATGTGGACATTTTGACAGACCGGTGCTAAGCTTTCACCGTCAATCTGACATCTTGTCTCAAGGGCTTCAGGCCATTGATAATGCCTCGAATGGTCCGACCGCTGTCATCTGACAAAGGGAGTATTTTAACAAAAAGTGCTGACAATTTTGTTAAAATTGTGATTGTCTGATCTGACAAACATCAAGGTAACATCCAAAAGTTGTCACATGTGGTGTTAAATTTGTCCACTTTTTCAGAATACACTTTTAATGTCAAACATGTACATAATACATCGTTGTATAGATTATGAAAGTAACAAAATTCCCATTACAACAAAATTCTCATACAACCATGCAAAAAGAATTCATATCCACTTCCCAATGTTTCACTATTGCCAAACGGACTAACATTGTTCAGATATAGGACTCAACACATCTACATGTACATAGATCTACACATGTTCATGTACATCTACCAGTACATACATGTACCAGTTCTTTGTTGGGGCAAGTTCAGTCAAAAGTCACAAACTGTGTCTGACAGAAATTTCACCCTCTGGCTCATGAACTACATGTACATGTAAACATTTAGCTAAATTAGTTGAAGTATGATCAATCAAAGAAGGTGAGTGAATTCTTGATTACAGTTTTACGTACGCATACTATTTGTCCTACATGTATGTATTTGAAGTCTAACTTGTACAAAAAAAACCCAATTTGGGCCAGCATACATTTCACAGATCAAGAGAGATTTCAGAAAACGGTTAAAATAAAGAAAATCCCATGATGAAGGATCAAAGAGGCTGGATAGTTTCTCGGGGGAGGAAGGAACATTCCTGGCCCCTCCCAATGTATGCCACATTTCCTTTCAATCATGCAGCCACTGTGGTAAAGACTCAAATCTGTAATGCTGACACCCCCATGCACGTGCATTTTTCTTGTATGTACGTGTCTATCCTGCACGTACTGCTCAGACCCTACCACTGCGTAATTGTACAATTTCCTGCATGAGTTGCCGCAAGGACATTCATTTCTATGAATCAACTTTTGAACACTATTGTTTTACCAAGGACAGATTATTGGGAGTAATAACCTAACGTATTCATTTGATCCTTTGGTTGCATTCAGTAGCGTTTGAATTTCTCGTATTCAACATAATTTACAACGAAGTTAAAAAACGCGCCTATTTGTACCGGTATTTTGCAGTGGAAGTTTCAACATGACCCCTTTCATGATAAGGCTTAATTCTCAATATTCCATTTCAAGCATTGAAAATTAAGAACAAGGAGAAAAACCATCAGTTTTGGTATTGTCAAACGTTTGTTTGACATACCGTACCCTGTACACTGTACAGTATATGATGATGCCAGTTGAGTTGGCCCACAATGGCATCACTAATTTTTTCGTTTAATTATTCTGTTTCCATCAGTTTTTCATTGAAATGGATCTGAAATGTTTCATATGGTGTCCAAAGAAAATAAATGAGCAACCCCATTATGCATAAACACGGAGAAAACATGAAGGCCTGCTCAATGACCTGTAATGTACATTGTAAATGTCAGATGTCTCTACTAAAAGCTTCGTCATCAACATGCAAATATTGTCGTCCATGCAAATATTGACAAGTTGTGAAATACATTGTAGGGCTACTGTCAAACTAGAAATGAAAATGATTAAATGTATGTACGGTGTACACATGGATTCACATCCCCACTCATTTGCAACTAATTATTAGCCATGTCATTAGTAAAACAGAATTACAGTGTGTATGCTACAATACATGTGCATAAAGTCTGCTAATTTTGCTGTGTTGGACATTGCGATTTGTACTGTACTGAGAACAGGGGTATGGTGATCCTCAGTAGTAACAGAAGCAATGTGCACGCATTTTGCACTTGAGATAAGTGCACTGAGTGCACTCCATGACAGGTGTGATAATATTCTGAATATTAGCCATCACAATGCTCCGCCATTACTGGAGGCATGGTATACGTCCCGCAACTCTCTGCCTGGACTGGTATGAAACACATTTTGGTAAAATAGGTTTGACTACATACATGTAACTGTGCAAGTAATGTAACTTCCTGCATTGTGTGAATCATACATGTAGGTTTCAAATTAAAACACAAATTGGCATCAGAAAAGAAAAAAAATAAGAAGCGGACGTGATCTGGCAAGGTTTTTAAAAAGACAATTTGAACATTTGAAGTTGCTCTAACTTGTTAACTCATCTCCCGTCCCTAACTACTTTCAGGAACCTTCTGTTTCCTTCATACAATGTACAATTTTAATGTACACTGCATATCATGTGTATACATGTAATTCAAAGCTTTTAACTGGCTGACAAATTTAGCTACATGTACGCCATCATAGCAGTCAAAATCAATCATACATTGTGACTGTTTTTAACAGTAAAGAATTCCGTTGTTCATATGCTTTGACTGGAGGTGATTGATACGCCAGTTACATGTCGTTACCTCTTTTCTATGCTGATGGAATTTGCATATAGTCACAGGGCTCACGCGAAAGTGATCTGACTGTTTTGACTCTGTATTCAAATGCATGGCAGGGGAAGTGGAAGAAAGTTTTGACTGTCTGTGACTGATCAAACAATAGGACGGTTACTATACCCCCCACTTTGCATACATGCACTATCAGTCTGCACGTGACTAATGCCACTTGTCAATCATGCTGGTATGCATGCATACTGGTATCGTACACGCACCGTTGATCTATAGATCCAACAACTCGTGATCATGACAGGAGAGATTTATTGCAAACAGCGGAAAACGGTTCAAAATGAAAGCACTTTTACTTTTGGCCTATATTTCTCCATTGTACGATACAATGAATGCTGGTATGACAAATAACACTTTTGTGAAATCTAAAATGAATGGTTACTCAAAATAAAATATGTTTACCTACATTTATATTATACACAAGTTTACATATATAAATGAAAGTTAAAGTTTTTTTAATATTCAATAAGTACGAAAAAAGAGATGAAAAAGGTCGAGAAAATATGAAATTGGTGAATTACATCTTGCTAATATAAATTGCTCACATTATACATGTATTAGTTGTATGGTCCATGACCATGACCATTTGATTCCTTCTGCTCAGCCAAGCATACAATATCCAGCTCCAAATGTTTAAAGTACATGTACATGTAAGCTGTCAATACATGTATGTGCCCTTTTTCCATGGAAAAGGGTGCCCTTTTACCATGGAAAAGGAAAGTTTGAGTGTCGGGTACCAGTACTTTCACATTCTCCAATAGAGAAAGAATCGAAAGGGAGAATTACCGGTACCTGGTACCTGACAGATTTCAAAATAGAAAGTTACGTGTCATCCGTAGTTTAAGGGAACATGCAACAGGAGTTTTATGACTTAAATACATTTTAAACAGCTTTCTAGCCATGTTACTATGACTTTCCATCTCCTTTGTAGCAGTAAAAGGGAGAAATTTTAGTTTTTATGCTAATGAAAATTTCCATATTCATGAGCCAAAGCCTGATGTCATTCAAGGCAGTACAGAAGTGTCGCCATAGCTTTGTGTACAAATATATCAAACTTTTCTTCATTTTCTTAGAGTAAGTTCCACTTTTTACTTGTTTATCATGTTGGTTTGGACAATAGTAGTGGCCAATATTTCGTCAAAAAAATGGGGGGGGGTGTAATTTTGAAGAACTAATTTTTGTACTGTCCATGCAATTTTGACAAGTACCTTGAGTGACAAAAGCAAAATAGCGCCTTCTTACATGTATTGATGAAAGGATTTGTTAAAAATTTAAAAATTACCACTTTCTGTCACTTCCAATGTAAACAAGTAATTACGATCTTGTATGTATCGTTGCAACACATAGTATGTGCATGAAAACAAGGCGAGCTGAATTTCCACTGCATGTTTCCTTTAATGTATATTTTTCAAAATACTTTTCCCCATTTTTTTATGACCCACCTTAGGCTTATTTCTACAGTACATGTATGTATCAACTGTATGTCTCAAAGCCGACCCTGCACTAAATTGTTTCCAATTTCATGTACCAGTAACTTGTCCACTTCGTGGAACATTTATCAATGAATTTATTGCTTTTTGCACTGATCTTTCAACTGACGTCTCATAAAAATCATACAGCAGTAAACGAAGTGCAAAATACTTGATGCCATACATGTACATGTACATGTACCGGTAGCAGATGTCCAATACATCAACTTGACTTTGAATGTACACTATGGTAAATGGCTGATTGAGCTGTTCAAGGTAGTGTTTTCTGTGTTATAACTCCAACTACATAGCTGAAGCTTAAAGCTATTGTCCATCATTTGCAGCCATTCGAAAAAGTAACTGCCGTATTATTGTTGAAAAACATACTTGGTTGAAAGATAGTAAGTGGACTAACTAAACTCCCTGTGAAACTAAACTTTCTGGCAAGCTATCGTTTTGAAGTAATCAACGAAAGAAGGCCTTTCCAATGGTGCGTCTTAAGATGCACCGTAGGAAAATATAAATTAGTTCGTTTTGTTATTCGGCGCAGCGCGCGCAAGCATTGGCACGACGCACAGGCGCACGCAGTTGCTATAATTCGTCGGATCAGTGCGCGACATCGTGTATAGCTGCAATTCAAAACAATTCAAAACATGATTCAGCAACTTTTGATTTGAAATTGAGATCCTAGAATGTTGTTTTTCTCGGAATATACAGCTGAAGCTGAACTGAAACTTCATCAGGTTAGTTGTTCAGTATCCTTCATTAGATTTTGAGCACTTTTGTTGCTTCAAACGAACAAAATGCACAAATTACAAATGATGGACTAGGCCTATATCTTTAAGTAAAGGATAAAATTCAACACCTACGCACATTGTGCAATACAACTAGGATTGTTAGTGTAACAAATAAAGGTCTTGCCCAGTTGTCCTTGGTTACTTGTAAAGCTCTTTTGTGTGGTTTATGTAGGCGCTTGCCTAGGTGTGGATCGAAACAGGGAAAAAGTTCAGTGACATCGTTATGAAGCCCATCTTTTGGAAAAATTGCAAAATAGTTTTCTCCCAACCTTGAGAAGCTACATTGTAGAAATCACTGAATGGGCTGCATAATGTCGTGCCACTATCTCAAACCTCTCCGGCCCTAACCATGCTCAGTTCAACAAGATTCGGCATATCAATTCAAATGCTCAGTTCAACAAGATTCCGCATATTAATTCAAACGAACCCTTCAGGCTTTGGGTCAGTCACGTTTTGGAGTCGATGGTACAGCCCTCAATTGGTTTTATTCATATCTGACCAACAAATCTCATAGGGTTTTAATCAATGGTAAACTGTCTAATAAATATGATATTGGATGGAGAGTTCCACAAGGATCACAACTCAAGCTGAATCATGTTTTTAAAATTTTTCATGAAATGGCACCAGACTCAGATATGCACAATTATTCTACCAGGGGCAGTTCCACTAATTTTGTTGTTCCAAGAATTAAAGGGCAAGAGTGCACTTCATTTTTTTATACTGGAATTCATCAATGGAATTTACTTCCAAACAGCATCAACTGTTCCAACAATCTTCCTCATTTTAAAAGGGCAGTGAAAGAACATCTCTCTTCTTATTAATTTTGTTTTTTAAGCAGCTGAGATTTTTGTGATTTCTGTGATTTTTTCTTTAAATTATTTTTCTGTTGCTAGATCCAGTGCAATTTTTTTTTTTTTTTTGAACTTTTTTATTTGTACAAGTTTGTACAAGTTTGTATTTAAGGACCCCGATGGAATTAAGCCGTCTTATAAACAGCTTTTCGGGTTATCCTTGGCTTTGTATTTACATGAAATACTTTCGTTTTTTTTATACCATTGTATGTTTGTTTGTTTTTGCCAAAATAAATAAATAAATAAATAAATGTCTTAGGCCCATTACTGTTCATTTTGTATACCAGTCAATTGTTTGACATTGTCAAAGTTCGTCATCCACAGATTCACTGCTACTCTGAATTCTGTCCTGATGAGACTGGTAGTCAAGAGTTCAAGGAAACCAATAAATTATTATTATTATTTATTTTTTTAGGAGTAAAAACAAAGTCTTTTCTTGTTTGATTGTACCGGAATAGAACTTTCCAGCACAACACTACATACTGCCAATTGTTTACATCATCCTCTGCCAATTTAGTAACTACAAAAAAATTACTGTACACATTGCCTGCATTGAAACTTGCTTGCATCATGATCTTAAGCACGACTGTCACTTTTGTAATCATTTGTTGTGATGATATCATTCAAATGTATCCTGTTGAGGTAATCCAACTGTCGATCTGATTCCCCATTTTGTTAAGCAACAAGGAAATCATGTACATGTACATGTACATGTGCATCATAGTACATGTACAACATGTACAATGTACTACTAAATGAACATGTTCAGCCAAAATGTGGACCTGCCTACATACATGTAAGGCCCAAATAAAAAGTCTCCGGTTTCTGGTATGGAGCTTGCCCAAAAAGTGGTGCGGCGATGCGGCTTTTTTTTTTTTTTTTTTACTTGTTTTTTGCTTCAAATGTCGGCTGGTGACTGCAAATGGTGCCCGACTAAACTTACATGTAGTGCAAATATATGGGAGTCCAGAGAGGCCACGTAAAGCTTATTCTCGATCATAACCCCATCTAAACACACGTTAAAATTGTGCAGCAGCAGGATTCCAGTCAAACCAGTGAGTTTGGCGGTTTTGAGACATCATCTTTTATTGAACATTTTTTTTTCTTCATTTTGCCGACGCGCGCGCATACCAGACCAGAAACCGGAGACTTTTTTTTTGTGGCCTAAATTGCACACTCACAGGATAAGGAAGCTATACAACAAACAACAAGGCACAGCTTTCTGTATTGGGCAAATGAAACTAGTTTGATTTAAAAGCAGTGCACTACATTTGTACATTGTACAATGTAATAACACCTTTCTAGTTAAAAAGAAAAATACAAAGCCTCACAACCAGGAACTGACAAGATTCACTTCACAAAAAATAAACAGCTACAGGATTTCAAAATGTAAGCACAATACATGTAAGTGCATATTGTAAAATATGTATGTAAGCATGCATACAAATTTATGATTTCAATGTACATGTAAATTTATGCAAAATGTAGGCCTATGTCATCAGAAAACAATTGTAAAAGTTAAAGTGAAGGAAACTTAATTCTAAAATGCACAAAGTACCTTACTTAGTTTTATTGTGTATCAATTGGCCACAAAAAAAGATAAATAACTCCATTAAAAAGAAAACAAATTCAGTTCTTCTGTCCATAACTACATTTGTACCCCATCACAAAAAATATAATTGTATACAATAATTGACTCATCACTAGGTTTCTTCTTTCATGATAACCGAAACTTAGGACATTAGCATCATAGCTAAATCACTGGAGAAGACAAAACATGATATAAAAACCAAACTAACCTGTTATTGAAGATGCGGTGGACAAGATCCTCCATGAAACCCTTGCATTGTCTCACATCTTCCCCTTCCTCCAACGAGACTGTCTTGTTCTGTTCTTCCATCTTCTCCGATCCAATCTCCCCATCGGCAATAATCACCGCATCCATGTCCCTCTCCGATCGCTTACTCTGCTTGCTCTGTGAGGAGGACTTCCTTGGAACCCGCCACCTCACGTCTTGATTGCTCGCCTGTTCACTGAACACCGAGGACGGGCAGAAGCACAATGTGCCCTCATCACAGCTGCAGTTCCTCATTGTGTCCTCCGTGTCACTCTCCCCCTTTGTGCTCTGGTTATCCGGGCCTGGTTCACGGCAAACACCAGCTGTTTGGCCAGGGTTGTTGTCTTCAAGCTGATCTTGTTGGCCTCCGGCTTGGTCACTCTCTGGACATGTGGTGACCCCTGATGATGACTCTATCCCTTCATAAGTGGTGTCAAGTCCGGACACGCCAGCATCAACCACATGGCTCAACTCCCCCAGGTTGTATTGAAATAAATCCGTAGCTTCAGATTGCACTTGTCCTGAATGCCCTTTGTCAGTGAAACTGAAGCATCCCTTTGTGATAGCAGTACTTTCCAGTTGACTGGCATCAGTCCGTTGACTTGCTGTATCGCTGACCGACTGATCGTTACAACTGACACATCCTGTGGGTTCTGTCCCTGCTCTACTACCAGCGGAAATGTTATTTATGGATTGGCCGGCCTCGCTGACGTCTTCCTGATGAATATTCATGATGGACTAGGGATGCCAGTGATTAATTCACCATCTGTTAGTGTAAACAGAACTGGGACAGATTCAGGTCATGAAGTTTCTATGAGGGAACAATCGGACCAGATAGGTGTGCACAGGTTTTTTGGAATCTGCAACGAAAAAAATTACATTAGGAATAATAAACTGGTTAGTTTACATCACATAAAGTTATGCACAGATCAAGCTTTGAAAGTGAGGGTTTACAGTGTTACAAAGGAATGTCCATGCACATATTTTTTGCACCACAATAATACTTACAAGTGAATATATTTCTTACATTAAAGGGAAAATACAACATTTGCAAACATCAAAAAATAAAACTACCAAATCATTTTGAAATACCTTGCTGGACTGTTAGTGAATGACAGTGTAAAGCATCCTTTAAAATCATGGCACCTGGTTTACTGTCATTTTCAAGAAAAGTGGTATTTTTGTATCAATTTCCAACGCTGATCGGCCGATCAGCGTTGGAAAAAACTGGCTTTTTTTCAAATACTGGCCCCAATTGACCATCGCACTTGTTTGCAATCGATTACAAACCTATGAATGGGTACGAGCCAGCTAGACTGGTTCCCTGACCTTACAATTCCCCAATGTATGTAAACTGCTCTGTTTCTTCTTATATGGAGTCAGGGAACCAGACTACAGAAAAATGCTTGTTTTTCTTGGTTTTCATAGCATTTTCGAACCCAAAACCTCAAAAAAGTCAGTGTAACTATATTTGCTATATATTTCCAACCCACCAATTCCATCCATTTCTGAAAATTACAGCAAAAGCAAATGATGTATATTCCCTTTAAATTATGGTATTCCTTCATGTTTAAAGCTAACAGCAAAGCCTGCTGTAAAAATGCTAAATTTCCTGAACAGTTGTGTTTCCCTGAATTTGAAATCTGGATTTTCTTCATACTCGCCACAAAAGCTACTTACCTAACGGTACATGGAGTTAAAAACCAGGAACAATCCAAAATGAGTGAAGGCTTTTTATCCAAGAGTGTAGGATTTGTACATTGTATCAAGGTCATGAATATTAATTGCGATGCGACCTCTGACATGTACACATGTAACATAAACTTTACAAAATTTTACAAACATCGAAATACATACATGTAGTAGGCCTAATCAGTGACTGGGAAAGAATGTACATATGTAGGCTAGTAATAGTATACGCCACTTCCTTGGTTGTGTACAAAGTCTATGGAGAGTCGAGTGCATTTCCAAAGGATTTTCTAACAAAATTGGAAGTTTATGTTTTGTGAAATAACTTTAGCCATGTTATCTGTGTGGCTCTAATCTAAATATGGATTTGAGACACATTATGGGACTATTATTAACCCTCGTACTATTTAAACAGTCACAGACAGTCAAAATTTGCATCCACTTCCCCTGCTATAGTAGGCCTACTTCTAACACAGGCTAGTCACCAACAGTCATACATATATGTCAAGCAATCACTGTGACGAGTCAAAATCAGTCAACAGACCATGAACAGACAAAGCAGGCAAGTTGTGCACACAGCTGGCTTATCAATCACCCACAGTCAAAAGCAAAGCTGCATCAAGTTTAGCTGGAGTTATCTCAGCCCTATATTTTATCATTGGGTTGTTGTAATAGGGCTGGAGTGAGTTGTCAACATGGACTAGGATATAAAAATTGAATTCGAAAATGTGCCATTTTGTCCCCGTAAAGAATCCCCTTGGGACTCACATAGACGTTGTCCGGCATAACCCCTACACAGGTCCTTGAAGAAAATAACGATCCACGATGAAGATTCAGCCTACAATTGCAGTGAAAAAGGAGGCATTACTGACAGCTGATCAAGTGGTAATTGGTTTGTGTAAACAAAATTCGTGTTGGAATGGCAAAGCGCGGTGGTGCACGCACTGTGCGCAGCATGGTAATCGACCGCGCATTGCCATTCCTTTGTACATGAATTTTGTTTGTACACAAACCAATTACCACTCTGGCCAGTGAACATAACTTGATCGGCCGTCACTGTCAGTAATGCCTCCTTTTTCACTGCAATTTGTAGGCTAAATCTTCATCGTGGATCATTATTTTCTTCAAGGACCTGTGAGTCCCAAGGGGAAATCAGTGTGTTACGGGGACAAAATGGCACATTTTTGCATACAATTTTTATACATGCTACATGTAGTCCATGTTGACAATTCACTCCAGCCCTATTACAACCACCCAATGATAAAATATAGGGCTGAGGCAGTCCGAGTAACTTGGACCCAACTTATCGCCTTTTTACTAATTTTAGCATTCGGACATGGGTCGTAACTCCAGCCAGCTAAAACAGTCACCCAGCCAGTCAATCCTGCTTTATTGTAGGCTAGGAAAAGACAACTTCACGCAGAATGTATGTTTGCATAATTAATAAGCCCTTAACGTTTCACGTCTGACCTAGCCATCTTGCTGAAATTTTAAGCATGGAGCTATGAAAAATGTTTTTAAGTCACTCCCTCATCCTTGGCCTTCTTGTCGATCTTAATGTTTCCCCTAGGCCATAGCCTAGCTAGCAGATAGGGTGACTGATGGATTGAATTCCTTACCATACTGTTTTACGTTACCATGGAGGAATACCAGAAAGTTTGTGTATATTGCGTTCTTTCTCCATCTTTTGCCCTTCTGTCTGCCGAACCTGGCCACAGGACTCAAGTATCCTCCCTCCGACGCAATCGAGTTGAACATCCGAACTCTCTTCCGCTTTCAAGCTAATTTCGCAGACGACCTATCTGCACAAAAAAAAGAGCTAGGTCTTGTCAACAGAGGGCGCAATCACGTCCATCGCATTAATTTTTCACGTCTAGCTGCTGCAGGTTTTGAGCATTTTCATTGCGGATATTCAGAGAAAAAAATCAGAGATGTAAAGTGAATTAACTGATAGTTTTATTCAATTCACACTTGTTTCTGAGAGGAGCCACAGATGTTAAATCGACGTCTCCTCCGTATGGGTACAGATATGGGCTACAGTCAGGCGCGTACGCAGGGGGGGTGTTTTGGCTGTTAAACACCCCCCTTTGCCATGTAAAAATATGGCGGGAAAAGAGAGTTATAGGGTGCAGACCAGTAAATCGGTCCGAAATTGCCTGCGCCGGCCAAATCACGATTTGCATGCCCTCAAAATCTTCGGTATTTGAGCATGCTGTGGGCCACGAACTTGAGGGATTGTAAAAAATATGGGTGGAAGCCGTGCACAGGACTGGGAGCTTGCAGTTCTGTGTAATTTTGATGTAATTTGGACCCTAAAAGCGCTCTATTTTGCAATGGAGTGTATGCATCGTTTTTCAAAATGGCGATGGGCTTCAGGACTATTTTCAGGGGTGATCATCTTCAGATGGAAATTGCTCCTAAAATTCATCAGTTGACCCCCCGAAAATTGAAAAGAAAATGAAAGATGATGAAATAAGCTTTAATTTGATGTGTGTCTCGAACACCTTGGAGAGTTGTGAGTATTTTTCCCGAATTTTTGAAGTGGGAGCATTTACCATTGGGGTCTATGGAAGTTTATTTACTGGTCTGCTACCTATAGTTTCAAAATGGCGCCTTCCATCGTTTGTTGTCAAATGTTTGCGGAGTGTTTTTTTTTCAGGGGGGCGGAACCTGGGGGGGGGGGCAGCGATTCAAAAGGGGTCACCAATGGCGGTTCCGCAACAAATGCGCCCAAAATCTGAATAGGGCCGATGGACCGTCGTCCGATTACAGCAATTTCGAGCGAACAGGGGGGGGGGGGGGGGGTAATTTGGGGTCGGAAGGAGCAAAAACTCAATTAACGCCCGTTGGGGGCGCCCTGCAGTAAGGTAGCCGCAAACAGAGGGCTTGTTTTCAGGCCAGAAATCGCAGTCAGACATTTTTTTTCTTGCAATTTTTTGATAACATATGAGTCACCCATCCTTCCTCGTGCCGTACAAGTGGTTTGGGGAAATTTTTCAAAACCTCGCTTCTCTATAGGGTGCAGACCAGTAAATCGGTCCGAAATTGCCTGCGCCGGCCAAATCACGATTTGCATGCCCTCAAAATCTTCGGTATTTGAGCATGCTGTGGGCCATGAACTTGAGGGATTGTAAAAAATATGGGTGGAAGCCGTGCACAGGACTGGGAGCTTGCAGTTCTGTGTAATTTTGATGTAATTTGGACCCTAAAAGCGCTCTATTTTGCAATGGAGTGTATGCATCGTTTTTCAAAATGGCGATGGGCTTCAGGACTATTTTCAGGGGTGATCATCTTCAGATGGAAATTGCTCCTAAAAGTCATTAGTTGACCCCCCGAAAATTGAAAAGAAAATGAAAGATAATGAAATAAGCTTTAATTTGATGTGTGTCTCGAACACCTTGGAGAGTTGTGAGTATTTTTCCCGAATTTTTGAAGTGGGAGCATTTACCATTGGGGTCTATGGAAGTTTATTTACTGGTCTGCTACCTTATGTGACCGAGCGCGGAACAATTACAAATTGTGTGCATGTTCTCAACTTTAAGCTTTGAATACAGAAGAAACTTCATAAGAGCAAGGATATATAGGCCTATATGTATTTGAAACAAATGAAACAAAATATCCCCTCCATTTTAAAAACTTCTGCTAAAAAAATCAGGGGAAAAGTGGCCAGGAAACGCCTCAGATTGCACCACAGAGCATCTACGATCCACAATTTCCCGGGGCCCTTAAGCGGGCCCCAGACCCCACGCCGTAAGTGCTTTGCGCTCCGCGCTCGCATTAGTCCTCCGGCGAAATTCCCTCTATGCTAATTTCACCCTAGCGGTGCCCCCCACCTTATTTGTACCTTCATCAGCGAATGGCTGAGGCTCGGACTACAAGTGGCCTAAATCCCTTTCCAAAATAGAATTATTGTGAAAAAATACGGAGATGGAACATGGTTCTCAACTTTGAGTACATAACAGACTTCATGAAGAACAAAAAAAATAACAAATTTAAATGGAATTTTCAATGTTTAAAACGTTTTCTAAACGGTGGAAGTGGCCAGGAATCGCCTCACATTGCACCACAGAGCATCTAAAATCCAAATTTTTTCGGGGCCCTTAAGCGGGCCCCGGACCCCACGCCGTAGGGGCTGCGC